AATCCTCGAACTTGGGCCAAAACACCTCAAAATGGAACCGGGCCTTGCTCATCTGGCCCATGTTTGTCTGTAGAAGTAAGGCGCAGTGGTCGGAAGCTTCTGAACCCAGTCCACGCAGATGCGCGTTAGGGAACAAGGTGTCCCAATCGAAGGAGACGAGGACTCTGTCTAAGCGGACGAGTGTCGGGTTCTCATGTTCGTTGCTCCAAGTGAAGCACCTCTCGTGGAGGTGGAGATCCTGCAGCTCAAGCACGACCACCGTTCGCCTGAATCTTCTCAAGTTGGCTCTGTCCACCTTGTCATTGCTCTTGTCGGCTTCGTTGAGGATGAGGTTGAAGTCCCCTGTCAGCGCCCATGGTTCGGGGCATGCATCCCTGATAGCCTCCAGTTCTTCAAGGAAGAGAACCTTGTCTCCGTCCTCATCAGGTTGGCGTCCTACGATGAGGATGCCACCACGAGTTTCTGACGCCGGTAAGTAGGCAAACTCCGAAAACGCAATGCCCAACATCGACAGGACCATTGTATGAGGTATTACATCGAGCTTGGTTTCTTGAAGGCACACTATGGACGGCCTTATGTCGTCAACCAGCGTACGTACTGCATCCCAGCGTGAGCGCGTTGAGGACGCGCACGTTCCATGACAATACGGTTGTGTTATCCATAGAAACAGGAACAACCGGTTGGTGTGGTGCCTAAGTTTAGGCCGCCGCGGCGAGTGGCCGGCGAGTCGTCTTGCCGACGCGTGTTATGTTTGCCGGGAAGAGCTCGCCCATGGCCTCGACCTCCTGACCCGTCATGTTCCTGCTGAAGAATACATCGAAGTTGCGCCTTTCCCCAGAGGAGGGTTGGGCGCTCGGATGCGTGAAACCCATCTTCATGAGGATCACTTCCCCCCTCTTGGACACTGGGATGTGTCCCATCTGTTGCGCACATAGGTCCCGTTCGCTGGTCTGAAATTTGGCTGAAACTGGCTGAAAAACACTGTTCCAGCTGAATTGTTGTGAGAGAAAAACAGTGTTCTGGCTGAAAAAAGAAGTCGAATAAGCCATTTTTAAGACAAGCGAACGGGACCATAATCACATTATTCACATATGATTCGCGTGGAGAGATGATGGCGTTTAGTAGAATACAGTACTGAGTAGCAGCACTCCTCTTGGTTCTGACTTCTGATCCTTTTCTTGATCGTACGTACTGTACTCGAGACGCATGACTGTATTTCCATTGCCAGTTTGTGGCACCCATTCAAAATCGCATAAAGAGATAGCGGTACAGCAATCAAGCTGCCAATTTACAGCTACAGAGACATAGCCCAAGGTGCACGGCGCAGATCCATTTACGCGAGCTAGAGCGGGAGACGACAGCGAGAGGCAGAACCGGAGAAGAGAGCTGTAGCCCGTACACCACCCCTTGCCGCTCCGCCTCCACGTGTCTACCGCCCGCGCCTCCCCTGCCGACCTCACGCTTATCCCTCCACGCAAGGATGCGTCAACCACGTAGACTGGGCCCCTCCCCCTCCCCCGCCTCCCCATCCCCACACAACCAACGTGCCACGCCCACCCCCACACAGCGCCCGCGGCGAACACCAAACACCACGGCGGGCCGGCCGAACGGCCCGCCCCGGCCCCGTTTACTCGTGGCACGCGGCCGCGCCAGCTCGCTTCCGCCTGGTGGACGCGCCCACGCGTCGACACGCGTCCCGGGGGCACGTTCCGGCCACGAGCTCGCGTCACGTGGGGCGTATCCGACGGCTTCGACAACTGTACGGGGGCCGGCCCGGCGGCCGCGTGGCGCGTGGCCTCCCTGCCTTTATATCCCCGGGGCACCACTTGGAACCCAACCCCTCTCCCCCCTCGCTCTCAAGCCTCAAAATCCCACTAGCGAGAAGCAGCATCAGCCGGGGCTCCATTTCTTCTTCCTTGAGCACTCGCCTTTGCCTGCTCAAAGAGCGTGCTTTGGTGGCATCGGTTCTTCGTTTCAGGGCCGAGATCTGCTGCGAGGTGGCGGCGGCCGGGTCGGACAGGAAGGGGGAGTGCGTCGGCGCGGACGCCGGCAGCCGCGCGGCGCGGAGGCGGAGGATGGAGATTCGGCGGCTCAGGGTGGTGGCCGAGGAGGCGTCCGCGAAGAGGCGGAGGCTGGAGGTGGATGAGGAAGACGCGGTTAGGGGACCGGCGCCGAGGTACGGCGTAACGTCGGTGTGCGGGCGGCGCAGGGACATGGAGGACGCGGTGACCGCCCGCCTTGGGTTCATCAACGGCCACCACTTCTTCGGGGTGTTCGACGGCCACGGCTGCTCACATGTAAGTGCCCGCTCGCCAATTCCTCTTCAAACAGTTCAGTTCTTGGCATCTGGACTGAACTGAACTGTGATGGCCCGAGCAGTTTTTTTTTTTCGATTCGCCGAGTGTCTACCGATTGGCTGCATGTGCATGCAGGTGGCGACGTCGTGCGGGCAGCGGATGCACCAGATCGTGGCCGAGGAGGCGACCGCTGCCGCAGGCTCGTCGGCTTCGGACGACGCGGCGCGGTGGAGGGATGTCATGGAGAAGAGCTACTCGAGGATGGACGACGAGGCCGTCGGCTTCAGGGACACCGCCGACCCGGCGCCCACCTGCCGTTGCGAGATGCAGCTTCCCAAGTGCGACCACGTGGGCTCCACGGCCGTCGTCGCCGTGGTGGGGCCACGCCACCTCGTCGTCGCCAACTGCGGCGACTCCCGCGCGGTCCTCTGCAGCGGAGGCGCTGCGATCCCTCTCTCAGATGACCACAAGGTACTGCGAACAGAGCAAAAAAAAAAAAAAACTGTTTCAGGCTCGGTCTTGTAGACTTGATGAGCTATTGCTACCTGCGTTTTGTAATCAAGTTCGTATGGGTGATGATTCGTTTCAGCCTGACCGCCGTGACGAGCTGGAACGGATCCACGCAGTGGGAGGGCGCGTCATCTTCTGGGACGGCGCCCGCGTGTTCGGCATGCTGGCCATGTCCCGCGCCATTGGTGACAGCTACCTGAAGCCGTTCGTGATATCCGACCCGGAGGTGCGGGTGGTGGAGAGGAAGGACGGCGAGGACGAGTTCCTGATCCTGGCCAGCGACGGGCTGTGGGACGTGGTGAGCAACGAGGTGGCATGCAAAGTCGTGCGCACCTGCCTCCGGAACAGAGCGCCGCACCCGCACGGCGGGGAGCGGTCGAGCCCGACCTCCAACCTGAGCCCCAGGCGGAGCAGCGGCAGCGGCAGCAGCAGCGGGGACGAGGAGGGCGCTGGGCCCAGCGACGGCGCGGGGTCCGAGAGCGACAGCGACGGCGACGGCGAGAGCAGCGAGGACAGGGCGTGCGCCGAGGCGTCCATCCTGCTGACCAAGCTAGCGCTGGCGCGGCAGAGCGCGGACAACGTCAGCGTCGTCGTCGTCAACCTCAGGCGGCGCCCGAGGACGTGATCGGCGGATCCAACGGACTAGCCGTTCTTCGCTGATTTCCTGGCCGTCCGTAAATTCAAATTCAAATCGGAGCCCAATTCACCTTCGCTTCGGCCGAACAATCATTGAACAAATGTCAAAGCAAAGATCGAACAAAACAGTGAGAACCTTAGCAGAGTTGCATACTGCTTCGTACTAGCCTGGTCGCTTAACTTATCAGCTGGGTCAGCGGCTAGTCTACGGTTTTTTTTTTTTGTTAGAATAAGGTATTTTTCTTTCCCTACAAATCAGCCGGAGCTGGATTAGGCTTTGATACCAGCCCGTTAGCTTTTTTGGCGCGTTTCTGATGCGGTCGGACAGATCAGCCCGCCTAGATTTCTTCCCCGATCAAATTCTGCAAATAGAAAAGCTCATGCCTTTCCGATGTTTGAAGAAACTTTATCAAGCGTCCGAGAAATTAATTGTAATAATATATATAGTCCAGTGCCCCTTTCACTAGCCAAATCCTTCCAACCTTCTCTGACTAGATCGTGAAGTGCTCCTTCGGTTACGTGTTTCATGTTTTACAATTTGACCCATAATAATGGTTGTCCAAAACGATTTGACGCGTTCGGCGACGCTGCGTCAGCTGTGCAACCTTGAATACAATACAATACCCCGGGGACGGATGTTTTCTTGCATTGGTGCCGTCTCCCAGAAGCTCTAAAAAAGTTTTTTGTCCAATAAAATTGTGCTTCCAGATGAACACAGTTACACGCAGCACAAACTGGACCTACGACGGTACGGCCACCCCAAACATTACATTAAGAACACTTTCTGACGTAGGTCTAGAAGAAGGCATTTTTAAGTGGATCTAGAAAACTTCCGAATTCCTACCCCACTCTTACAGCGGCCGCGGCCGCGGCACCGTTGCCCTATGAGAATAGATTAGATCGGTCTCTAGACTTGTGAGGGGAAATTTTTTTTTAGTCTTAGCCTAAAATTCGTCTCCATATAGTCGAGGAGATTTTTTTAACCTCAATCTAAAATTCGCTTCTATACAAAATCAAACCCTGAATCTAAAAAGTGTCGCCGAGATGCTCTGAGCAGTTGAACTTGAGGTCCTTTGACACGCAGAACAAACACTGAGCATACAATAGTGTTTTAGAAAAAAAGTCTATATAACCCTACTTAACCCAAAACTATAAAACTTTATTCTATACGCTATACTTTGTTTTACCGGTCAAATAATCTCTTGAGTGGTATTGGTAGATGGTTTTTACTGATGTTGCCATCCACGCGCGCTGGTTTTGATGATGTGGCATCTAGGCCCACCTATCAGCCTAGAACCAGCTCCATTAACAACTCTAATCGCGCCCTGCTCTTCTTCTCCGGCGTCACCGACCCGGCCGCGCTGCTGGTGGACCTCGCCCTGCACAGGTGCGTCCATTAGATGCCCCCTTGGCCGTCGCGCTCCTCCGAATCGTCGCGGCGGAGGGTCTTGCGCCTTGCGACGCCACTACACTGGCGCGGTCCGCATGGTCGCGAGCGCGGGCCCGGCGCTGGGGCTAGACCGCGGCGTGGGTGCTGCCGGGACCGAGCTCCTGGCGATGGAGGAGCAGGGCGAGGACGTGGACGTGGACGTGGACGATAGGGAGAGGCTCAGGCGGACACGGGTCTCACTGAATCCTCTGGTTTCTCCGTGAGAGCTGCAGTGGAAGATGCAAGTCGACACCGGTAGCGGATGGGGGCCCGGCAGTGTGCATCGCGCAGGGCATCCCGACAGCTCGAGGAGCGCGTTGTGGAGGCGCCTCACGCGTGGCCGGCCGCTGGTGTCTCGCTCGCGGGCCCGCGATGGCTCGAGCAGGGCGGCTCGGCGGCTGCTCGCGCACAGGCGCGCGACAGCTCGAATAGTGCGGCCCGACAGCGACTCGCATTGCGCCGCTCATGGGTCTGCTCCTTGCCACGGCTCCAGCAGATGCCCCCTTGGCCGCGGAGTCGGGGGCCGATCGGATCGAGCTCCCAGAGTCGGGCGCCGGCGTCATCACAGACGACTGGGCGCGTGTTCTTCCAGGGGGCGGAGGTGGCGGCCATCCGTGGCGCTCTCGACTGCCTGCATCCACGCCAGGCTCGAGTCCCTGGACCACACCGATGCCACGCAGCGAACGTCCTCGTCGGGGCGCCGCGAGGGCACCATCGTCGTGCACGAGATCTAGGACTGCCACGACGCAGCGCGTAGCCTCCTAGAGCTCCACCACGCCGGCCTGCGCCATCTTCTCACAGCCGCACAGGCGGTCTAGCACCGACATTGACGAGCCAGCATCCTGCGGCGGCGAGGCGGCGGCCACGCGGCTGCTCTAGCCGGTGCTCCCGTCGGTGTTGTACTGTTGGAACAGAGACCGAGCTCTGCTCCTGGATCAGCGACGGCTCCACAAAGCCTGTTTCCATCGGATCGTTGTGGGACGCGCAGCACACGCCGTCGTGGCGGGGACAGACTCCTGACGGTCACGGCGTGGCCAGGGCACATCACTTGCCACCCATGAATCTACGCCCAGCAAAACTAACTGCGACTCTACTGAAAACTTTCAACGGGATTACAAAAGTTTTTACATGACTCAGAACTAAACTTCTAACATGTACGTGCTCCGCTTCATCGACCTGTCCCCGTACGTGCTCTAGCGAGAGATGGGGCACAGTTAGTAGCAGGCCCCATTGCCTGCCCCCGCGTCCTCTTCTTTGCTCGAGCCGCGGTCAGGGGCAGCGCCGCCCGGCGTCCTTGAAGTCGAAGGCCACCGCCCTGGAACCTCGTTGCTCCACTGCAAAACGCTTGAGGCTCGTCTCCTCTGCCGCAAGCGCCACGGCGCCGTCGTCGTTCCCGCAACCACGACCTGCCGCTCCATCACACGTCGTGCCGAGCTTCCGCAGCGCCGACTACAGGGTGCAGATGCCGACGGGCAGCCCGCTCAAGGACATCATCTGGGTGCTCGTCACCGCCATCAGGAAGCGCAACGTGAGAATGGAAAGGGACGACGGCGCGGCGGTGCTGCTCAAGGAAGACGACGCCAACGATGACGGCGAGCAGCAGCTGCTGTCGCGCACCAAGGGTCAACGGTGCCTTGACAAGGCTGCCGTGATCGTCGTCAAGGACGGAGACAAGGAGCAGGAGGGCGAATGGTCTCTGTGCACTGTGAGCTCTGTGCACTGTGAGTGAGGTGGAGGGCGTGAAGATCCTGGTGCGGATGCTACCCATCTGGGTGACGTGTGTGCTGTACGAGGCGTCGCTGGGGCAGATGACCACCACCTTCATCCAGCAGGGGATGGCCATGGACACGCGGCTGGGCGGGTGGTTCAAGGTGCCCGTGGCATCGTTGGTGTCCGTCGAGGTGGTGTTCGTGCTCCTGTGGGTGGTGCTGCACGACGCCGCCATCATCCCGGCGGCGCGGCGGCTGACGGGGCGCCCCGGCGGGCTGACGCAGCTGCAGCGTATGGGGGACGGCCGCGCTCGTCGAGAGGCGCCGGCTCCGCGCCATCCACGGAGGGAGCGGGCCGATGACGGGCTCCGACGTCTTCTGCGAGATCGCGCAGCTGGAGTTCTTCTACGGGGAGGCCCCCGTCGCGATGCGCAGCATCTGCTCGGCCTTTTCCTTCCTAGCGCTGCCACATAGGCAAAACCAGCGCCACATAGGCAAAACCAGGTGTCCAAAACCGTCCAGGAATAAAATGACTGGTTTTACTAAATTTTGTTGGATTTCCATTTTTATAGGTTGACGGTTAGGTAAACCACCCACGATACGTTAAGGGGTTACTTAGACTTTTTCCACGGTGTTTTCGCTGTCTCCTGCCGGCTCGTTCGTCGCTGAAAAGTCCGTCCTTTCCTGTGGTGTGCTGGTTGGTGAGCCGTGCTCCGTGCAGCAGTAGCGAGTCAACAAACAACCCCCGCTGCAGCCTAATCATGGCGGACACGAGGCACGCATCCATCCATGCTACGACCTGATCACGACGTCGAGTCGAGGAGAGGTGGAGGTGGCCGGGTGGTAAGAAAAAAATTCAAGGCTACTTTGGAAGCAGATAACCCTGTCGGGATCCCCGTGATTTTCCGGGGTGAGAAACCCGCCGGCCGATCCCCTCGCCCCGGAGTCTGAAGACCGCGGAGACGTGAATATCAGTCCTCTTCCCTGAGATAGGAGGCTGGGAGCGCTTCCCCGGCCCTCTCTCGCGAGTCGTGACGGTGCGTTGGTGCCTCGACCATCGCTCTGCACGTAGCCGCCGGCTCTGTTCGGTTGGTCTGTAAGCCACTTTATGCTGATTTGTACGACTGATTTATTGGGAGAGAAAATATTGTACTATGGCTGATAAGCCGGCTTATAAGCCGACTTATAATGGCAGCCGAACAGAGCCCGACTACATGTTAGTTCGCTTCGTACCAAAACCATGATGTCGTGGTCGTTCGATTTAGCAGCCATAGCCAACAGGGTGACTGGACATCGACCATCTCCCCGCCACCGTTGGCCCATGCAGCAGGTTCTGTAAGGACCTCCAATGGCGAGAGTGGTCCGGTCCGTTCTCCATTGGCAGTGCCGCTCATGAACATCAGTGACAGAGTAGGCTTCTCATGAACAACGTCGTCGTGACGAGGGCCATGATAGAACTGATACCTCTAGCGTAGATCAGTGGGTAAAAACTTAAATAAGGGGACTTGCTGATATACCTCACCAAAGGGCAGTCGTGGCCATGGTGCCGCCAACGAAGTAGCAGCGGCGTGTGTCAGAGTAGAGGTAGCAACGCAGTGGTGTCACGGTCCAGTGGCGGCAGTGGAGCTTTCCGTCGCTTACAGCGTGCCTTTCTAGATCGGACTAGGGCTAGGAACCTCGATGGGACGCTGGCGGCTACGGTGAACCTCGTATCTTGCGCCGGCTCCACCTTTTTATTTATAGCATTGCGCGACGGGACTATCAAACGGAAGAACAGCTAGACGCCCCAATCAAGACTTGGATCAAGAAGCCAGTTAGCCGTTGCGCCAGCCGATGGAGATCAATCCATCGTCGGCAGACGGCAGCAGGTGCCTGTAGCGCGGGAGGCCTACCTGCTACCTCTGGGAGATGAAGGCGTTGCAGCTCGCCAGCTCCTCGCTGGATTCAACTTGGTTGACCTGTTCGCTGTTCCCGATGTTGCGGCTAGCGAGGCTGCTTGGCGGCTGCTCCCTGCGGGCTGCGAGTGGCGCGGCAGGTGCATGAGAGGGCGGGGCTGCATTCCATCACTGTCACGGCCATGGTCCACGGAGAGCTAGATGTCCGTTGCCGACAGCAACAGCAGGGGAAAAAAAGGTGTCCTTGGAGAGCTAGGTGTCCGCACGTGAAATCTCCCCCGGAGAGGAGAAGGGGACTACGATGTCAAAAAAAAAAACCAACCCTGCCGTTTTCTTCCTGGGTTAATCACCCTGTGTTGCCAGAGTAGCCCTAAGACAAGGTTTCAAGGAACGAAAAGATAATCACGTTTTCTTATCGGGACCGGGAGGATTTTGTGCCGCTGACACCTGTTGCGTGGCGCTAGGTTGGGTGGGTCGCTGCATTTGTGCCTTTGCGATCGCGTCGGAGATTCTGCTTGCTTGTTTCGATCGGGACGGCAATTATCGTCCCCGGGCCACGTCAGGGGGTTGGGTCGGCCCTTTTCTGTTTCGGTCCCTGCTTTTCGGGACGCTGATGCTGAAGGTAGCCGTCACGCTCGCACACCTGGCTCGGAGGTCCATCGGCTTTAGGGTTAATGGCCCTAGTTTTAGTTGACGGCTTTTTCCTAATGAGAGTCCACAACCTTTTAGCATTAGAAAAAAATTCAGTCTAGCTGCTGTAGGAATTCCACACGTCACTGAAGACGCGGTAGCAGTTGCCTCAGCTTTACAAACAGCGTACTGGAATCAAGGATGCGTTCCGCACGACAGTTTTCGTATACAGTAGTTTTTTTCGCTACCTTGTTTCGCCGATTGTGGAGCCTCAGAATCTGTTCCCCGTGAAACACGAGCTCTTGCGTGCCGCGCTTGGGGGTCCAACCCGTCCAAGGCCACCTTACTATGCAAGCTTGGAATGAACCCCAGTCCGCCTTTGGCATTTTGCCCTTGCTTTGGGCCACCCAAGTGACCCAACGCACGCGGTGACGCCAGATGCGAGACGGGGAACTTTCGTACAGGACTCCTAAGCCGTTGCAGTTGCACGCCCCACAGCTCATCTAGGCGCTTCCTGCTTAAACTTTGCTTACTCATCGTTCGAGCTGCTTGTTCGATTGCGATTTGCGAAGCGTCACTGCCGATGAACGCGGGTGAAGATGCCGTGCCGGCGATCGTGGTGAAAGTAGTGGAACGCATGGTTGACATGGTGGCCGGTGCATGTCGCCGGACGGCAGGAGCGGGCGGCCACGAATGTGTCTGTCCCCCTGCCCCTTGCGCTGCAAGAGAATCGGAACGATCCGAAAGCTGCTCTGCTTTTGCCTTTTGGGAAGGCGTCGAGGCTTTGGACCAACGAAGGTGCGTCGATGCCTTCTTCTCCGCCTGGAACGGAAGAACCTTGTGACGGAAAATGGCGACCGGTCAGTTACCGGGAATCAACGTTCGTGGTCATGGAGGTGAGAGGGGGAGCTAGTCGCGTATTCTCCTCCGTGTCGCACTGTCGCGGAATACTTGGGTGGTCCACTGGAGTTTCTCGCCACACAGCTGTTCAGATTCGACTTCGAGGACGACGACGGGACGATCAATCAATGCCGTGGCTTTATATTGGGCCGGAAGTGTCGATTTTAGGCCTAATAAGCTTGGGGCTAGTATGGGTCGCCAGTCGAGCCTAGCGAAAAACTGGGCCATTGAATTTCGGAAGTTCTTTGGGCTGGTAATGGACAGATAGCTCGGCGTCCATTTGATATAAACTGGGCCACTAATTAGGGTGGACTGTTGTTTCCGGTGGTGCCACTGCTAACCAAAAGAGTCATAATCCCATTTGTGATGCTTCATGCTTGCCCACTTCTTTTCGTCACACATTTTCAACCGTCGAATGTTAAAAAAAATACCATTTCAAAGGCAATTAGAATACAAATATACTGATGCAAGTTTTATGCCCTAAATCTGTATATAATTTGACTAATTTTTTTAGAAAAAATAAAAAATTTCAGGATCTATGACCGCATATAGCCAATATAATTTGACTAGTCGTTGATAAAAAATTGCCAACTCACGGATGAAAATATGTTTGTTATTTCCGGATGGAATGATGGATGGAGTATGACGTACCCACTTGCTGATAGCAATCAGCCATGATGATAGGTGAGCCAATTGCCGGTGCATCCTCTAGATCCACACCTTTAACCCAACATTCTAATAACATTTAGATACTGGTTTCGGATTGGCAGTTGCTCTGTTGCAAACAAGAACAACGGAGCTGGTCATGTTTCATTCTAATTTGTATTAGCCAGATCTCGTGGGAACAGAGCAACAACGGAGCTGGTCACGAAGCAAATACTAAGCTACTCTAAATAGGAGTGAGTTCAAATTGCGAAGCAATATGATGCTCATTCTAACTGTAGTCTGATGGAGATTGAAGGCAAACAGTGGAACGAACAGATCAGATCAACTGAATTCTCAAAGGAAGTGGGCCGTGGACCAACTTGGGATTTATTTTTGGCCCCGTTTGCTTCGCTGAAAAAACAAGGCAAAACATTATTTTGGCTAATTTGTTGTGAGAGAAAAATATTATTCCGACTGAAAAAAAAAAAAGCTGAAAAGTACGGATTATAAGAGAAACGAACATGGACTTTATTGCAAGGTCTTCTTGTAAGTTATGGCCATACTGTGTAACAATCAGTAAAATACAGCTAGAGAACTAATCCTTTCTAGCACCTACTACTTCCTTGAAATAAAAGAACATCCTTTTTTTTATAAAGAAACAACATTCTAATTGGTGTTGCTTGGATAAAAAAAGTAGCGATGGAAGAGGAGACCATTATATGTCAATCGCCTAAATAGGAGTGTACAGTAGTTAACAGTTTGACAGATCGATCCATCATAGATTCACACATCGCCAACATCAAGCATCAACCGACAGCTCCCACCGACAAATGAAGTGTCAACTGCCGACAAATCCACGGGCCTTAAAAAATGCCCTACCGTTACTACAACCGTTAAAGCTTTGTTCCTTGTTCGAGTGACGCAAGTCTCACGGTAACGTTCTCGTTAACCATTAAATGACTTGTAAGTGGGGCAGTTTCACAGAATCACACGGACACCGTAATGATATTCCGCGTGAGATGGGGTGAAACAGTGGCACCGGTTCTGTGAAATCAACAAACTTTTGCACGCATCACGGATTTGCGGTGCATGTAGGGCCTATTTAGCCATGTGATCCACTAAATGCTGCAGGGTTAAGAGGATGCAAGCCTCGGATCTATCGGCGAAGCAATTGATTAGTAAATGCCGATCACCAATCGGTACTGCGTCCATCGCGTTTGCATCAGGTACGGTCCGTAATAGAACCTGACCCAGCGACAGCATAAGCATTTGTTCCAGTTAGCAAGTCGCTGTTTAACAGTTTCAGTTTGCAGTCCTTGTTAGTTAGCAGCATATGGATGGAAGAGATATAAGCAAGCTAAACACACCTGCATCGCATGACGCATGCATGTCTTGTATAGCTTC